AAGGCTTCAAATATAATTAGATAAACTTTGTCGTTGTACGACAGTGTTGCATCAGTGTCGCCGCCTCTGTTACTGATGTGTTCAGGATTCTCGCATAGTGATTTACTAAACACTGTGCAACGCACGGGCTGAGCTGCCACAAGGAACAAGGTTACCCCGCAGTGGGTAGTGGATCAAATATTCATGTTGCGACACATGTTAATACATGGACGCTTTGCCCACAACCCACAATAGGGGCTTTCCTCGGTCATCATTTTGCCTTGGCTACAGTTGACAGAGCCATTCTTAGGGATCACCCCACCAAGAATGATGTGCTGGATAAACTTGTGAAGATTTCAATCACATTGCGTACCGAAGCACACAGGCGTATTTGAGTATACATCCGGCTATCACCGGGCCTCTAAATGATCAGTGTTGTCTCTCCAGGTTGCCTCTTATCTCCATTCCTACTCAATGTCGATGGAATCCTACGAACCGTTGTTTTGTGAGTCAACGGCGGTGTCGTGAGTCTACTTCTGGGGAGGCGGACTCAGGACCTGGATTACGCTATCGTAGTGTGGAATGAGGATCTTATTATCACTTAAGCCGGCATTGTGAAGGAAAGAATGGCATTTGCTAATCACGTACTTGTAGAGGTGGCAGACTACAGGCGCACTTTTGTAAAAGAATAGTTGTGCTTTAATACCTTTTCGCTGATGATTCCCAATAAAAATGGAACAAGTGTAAAGTGCTTCTCGATTCTTCAGCGCAGACTGGCTTCACTTAAAGGACGGAGTCACCACCGCACATTCTGGACCACTTCACACTACCAACCATTCCAGAAAGAACCCATTATACTGATACCGCAACAAGTGAAAAACATTAGTTTTTCGCTATTACTAAATTAAAGACAATAAATTATTTTCGAGCACCGTCTACTCAGAGACATTGATGTCACATGTTTACGCAACAACGCGAGTCGGTTAACGCACGGCTGACGTTTTCACCCCGAATACGATAAGCGAATTTGTTAAGTACCCTTTCTTATAGCTTCTCGTCTATATTTTCTTGTGTACAATAATCACGACGGGGATGTTCAGGTGACAGCCAGTTTAGCTGCACCCGAAACTCTTGCAAGTCAACCATAATTTTTGCGTCTACTCAGAGACATTGATGTCACATGTTTACGCAACAACGCGAGTCGGTTAACGCACGGCTGACGTTTTCACCCCGAATACGATAAGCGAATTTGTTAAGTACCCTTTCTTATAGCTTCTCGTCTATATTTTCTTGTGTACAATAATCACGACGGGGATGTTCAGGTGACAGCCAGTTTAGCTGCACCCGAAACTCTTGCAAGTCAACCAACCAGTAATTTTTGCCCACGTAGTCTTGAACGTCCTACGCTTCAACCAATACTTTTTCACGGACTGTTTGATGACTCATGTGAAGAAATTCGGAGATGCAAGCAGAAATGCATGCTGATTATCCGTAGCTTAGCTCGTTGTGACTCAGATGGCTGGGCAAAATCTACGTAATGTTTAATCGCGTTTGTGCTCGACTGTTTTATCGACCGAACTCTACATCACTACCAGCCCACATGCCATTCGTTCCCCATTTTTTGCCATATGCATCCACAACCTACTCACCGATCTAAGTAAGCTGGTGGTGTTCCGATTGGTCGTGACTGGTATAGTTTAAAAGCACACACTTAATTATAAACGATATAGATAATAAAAGATAATCGAGATTATCATTGGGGCGAGATGGCCCAAGTGGTTAGAGCACGAATTTACTGGCCGGAAGGTCCGTGGTTCGAACCCGGCCTCTGCCTTTCAACTTCCCCTGTCTAGACTTGAACAACCTGGCAGTATCCCAGCCCTTGGGTGGCATGGCAGTTAGGCACCGAAAAGATGCTGTAGCTGAACAGTTTCAAGAGGAAATATATGTACCTGAAGAAAGATCACCGTCTGTTTATTCGTTACCATGTCAAATGACTATCTCGTACACCAATCAAATGAGAAGTAATACGAACTGGGTTGGAAACATTTTAGCACCTAAGCAAAGGCTTGTCTGTGGGAAGCACCGATCATTTCTCATGTGATCCACTCCCTGGAGAAGCCTTCGCCCAGTACCTATCCGGTAACTCCACAGACTGACTCCTCAACTATCAAATATTTGGCAACGAACCTGTCAGACTAATCCAGCCCCGCTCGAGTTTGAATAGACTCGATCCGTTTTCCTACAACAGAATTGTGTAACTTGCCCCTATATACCACCTCTCGCCAGATCAACCTCTTTAAGGTATCTTTCGGTTCTTTGGAGCATCTAGAAATATCTAACTATCAGAATGTATGCTTGTCGATCTTGGGCCCACCGGGTACAGGGACGCTTGTTATGACGTCAGTTTGTGAAACCTTGTGGCTTTATTGTGGTACACCGATTAGCATTTGTGTGTAGTCCAACTCTGGTGAAAGATCTTCGAATGGTATGATACTTTACTTCTCATTTCAGATTTTTATCATTTTTGCACATCCGTAATCGACCAGTCCAGATCAAGAAATCACGGCAGTAGATCCACTTCAGGACGGGCGGGTGGTGGAAATCTTGACCATGTCTGATTGGCACTCACTTCT